CCAGTGTCTCTTTGTGAGGGTTCTTTGGCATTCTGATTCCTGATTGCCTGATGGTTCCATAGCCCTAGGATGACCTCTCTGTTTTGCCCCAAATCTCTTTTCCTGAGCAGAAATGCTGCAGCGTTTGGTGATGTGGAATGTGTTTCAGTAATGTAGGCAATAAAGGTTTAGGATAAATTGTTTGTTATGAAGACATTGAAGGGAAAAAAACCTATACAGTGAAGTATGGAAGTAGAGCACTAGCAATAATTCTGCTTTGGGTGTGAGAGATAATGGCCTGTGTTTTGGTGGTAATAAAAATGTTCTGTTAAGTTCTCTGAACCCATTGCAATGTGATAGAAAACAGCAATTGATGAAACAGTGCTTTAAGGGGAGCTTACACATCCAGCAAGCATAAAATAAACATATTAAAATAGAAAAAAACCCCTGATTTCCAGTGCTTATTGTTTTATCATTTCCATCATGGGTATAGGATAAAAGAAAACTCTTACTTGCTTGTTAGAAGAAGAAAGCTCCTACTTGAAGTTCTTACTTGGCAGATGTCAGTTGAAAGCTCTGCTAAGGAATATGCTGCAATGTCAAACTCTGTTGGGTAATTTTAGACAAATGTGTCATGTGTGACATGGAAATATGGCATGCTGTACATTAGTGATTTCCCAAGTGTTTGGATCAGGTAGTAATGTGCTGAGAAAGTGCTCTTTATCTCTCCACACTGTGTACTTGTATAGCAGTGGGGAAAGGCTTTTGGTAGAAATTACTTTAGTCAGAAAAAGAATCCATTTACAATATGTGCCTTCTAACATCTTTCAGACAATGCATTGTATTAAAGAGGCATTTTTTGATTAATGTTTTATAAACATTTTTCAGCATGACAGCTTAAAGTCCCTGTAAAATTGTAAATGCGTGCATAGTGCTCACTTCCATAAAGTCAAATGCCATCTCATAAAGTCTAGTTGGATCCTGTCAGTGACAGTGACACAGAATCAGAACCTTGGAGCATTAAAATTAATTTGCTTCATTTATATTACTGCAGTGATAGCTAGATGAAAAGAGTCCTATATTTAAATTATCTTTAAAATACCTTCAAATCTTTTAGGGTTTTTTATTATTATTATTTTACAGTTAACTAAATGTAGTGAAGCGCAGCATAATATTTTCATGGGCCTTTTAGGAAATGTGAAAATAGCAAAGGGGAAAGGGGAGAATGTGGGAGGCTATACTGGGTGCAGACTGGGGGAAGGATTAAGTAGCTTTCAGTTGAGCAGGTTATTAGAGAAGCAGTGGCCTTTGGCCAGGGCTGATAATCCACAGCCTTGGAGCCAAGCTGGAACACCCTGGAGCAATGGAGAGCTGCAAGAGCAGTGCTCTCACTCCTCCTTGCTGCTGTTGGAGGTCAAGGATAAACAGTTTCCTTTGCTTTCCTCAGGTTTGCAAAGTGCCTAATGTGGAAAAAGAAGAGCTGAGTGAGGACACAAAAAAGGGAGAAAACTGCAATGTGCTCCCTGTTACAGACCTGTCTTCTTCCCTCAGCTGCAGTGGGACTGTGATGTTGGTGCCCCTGCCCTTAGTGCAGCTGAGTGATTTTAGTGGAAATACCCAAAACTTACATGGCTGCAATGACAAGAATCAAAGGTCTTGGGAAGCAAACTCTTGGAGGCTGAAAGCATGGGAGTGGAGGAGGGAAAAGGAGGAAGGGAGAAAACACAAACAGAAAAAGAGCCTCTGAACACCAGGGCCAAAGAGCAAGGAGGAATATGGGAATGTGGGGAGCACTGATAGGAGAAACATACCCAAACAAAGGGGAAGAGGGAAATCTGGGGTAAAAAGCTGGGAATACCAATGATCTTGTTTGAAAGGAATACCTGTAGAACAATCTTTGGTTTTTCTCCCTTCTGCTGCAGCTCTCTGTAGTTCTAGTCAGGTGGGGTGCTGCTGTCTCATCCCACTCCTGTCTTTGGAGGAAGATGGGAAGCTTGTTAAAGCTCCACTTTGAGCAAAGCTGACCAACTTAGCACCAAAGCACAAAAGAGAACTTTGTTATTCAGGTCTCCTGATATTTAGTGAGTGAGGGTCTTTGGCAGAGAGTTGAACCAGATTGCTGGAAGCTTGTAACTCCATAAACCACAGCAGCATGAATGGGTGGTTTTGGCATGAGCCTTCAGTGTTTGTTTTTCTCCCAAGTGTTTATATATGTATATTTATATACATATATATATATATGAGAAAAATGTAGTTGTTTTTGTGTTTTATTTTAAAAGAGGCAGAAGTAACTATTAGAGCATGTTTTCCCTAATTAGATATTTGCATGGGTTTTATGTGTTTGGAAAACATTAACAGTCATACTGATGCTTGCAGCTGCTACATATTGCTACTAAAAAGTTTAGATGGCATTTTTAAAAATAAATAACACTCATGCTGTTTAGTTTAGCTTTGTGGTAATGTTACTGACACAAGCGTTTGGGACTACACTATGGGGATCGCTGTCACGAAATATTTTCTGAGAGTTGCATACTGGCAAAGTTGGAATTATAAAGATCAGAAAGTGCATGAAAAGGCAACAAGGTTGGGTTTCTTTTCTTTCCAATGGACTAGTCCTTACCTGTAAAAATTATTTTTATTCCCTCTTCTCATCAGTTAGCATTTCCTGGTAAATAATAGGAACTTTAATTGCACATTAGTAGCTTCCAGGAAATGTTGTTGTGACATGTATTTAAACAAGCTGTGAATTAAGAACCTCTTTCTACCCAGTGATCTAATTATATTGTCACACTAATTGTAGTACTTTGTATTTCTATTTGACAACTTTAATTTTCTTTTCCTAGTTTACAGAAATAGTTTTCCTCTAGAGAATTTACCTTTTAAGCTGGAATTTCATTTATTTCTTTCAGAAAATGTACAGTTATCTAAAGCATGTCTCAGTCACTTTGGATGCATTCTGTTCACGTCTGTGCCATTAGTTTCTGTGTCATCTTAGGCTAGTCATTGTAGTGTTTCTGATTCTCTGTAGGAGCCCTCTTCAGCTTTCTAAAATGTTTTTGGATCTGTGGATGAAATTGCACTACCAAAACACCAGGTACTGTCTTACAAACAGAAATACAGCATGTTCATAGCTTGGGACTCACGTGTATTTTTCTGTGATTACAAAATAGAAAAGGACCCATGAGGGTCAATTTGAGATGTGGAAACAGGCAATAAAACCTTTATCTGTTTACAAAAACAGTATGATGGGCATTTGAGGTAAATTACATGCCTTAATATAATGTAAATGCCCATTTAATTTCTATCTAAATACTATTTATTCCCAAGCCCCAGAAATTAGTGTTAATAATAAGCAATTGTCTGATAGGTCCATGATGTTGTTTTGAAGGCAATTATAATACTGAAATAAAACATGCAAGCCTTTATTTATTTGATTTAATCCATCCCTGCAAATATACACATAGGTAAAGGCACAGGCATGAGATTTTAGTGGTACAATGTGATGAAGATAATAATAATAATAATTACAAGAAATGGTGCTGTGAAGCATCATGACGATTTCAGCAAGCCCGGACATATGTCAATGTGGGGTACTGGTGAAGTAATATTCAACAAATAAGCTGTTTGCTCACATAGGGAGTGGTCAAGGTTATTAAAGAAAGCCTGAAGTGGTGTTGAGAATGGGAGTTTATCCAAGATATAAAGAAAAATTTCCAAAAATATGACAGCTTTGGCTGATCTGAGGCATCTCCTCATGGGGAAATGGAGGGTGTGTGGCACAAACCTCAATGTTTTGCCATTCCTGGGAAAGGAGACAAGGCAGAGCCAGGCTGGATGGGGATTGGAGCAACCTGGTCTGGTGGAAGGTGTCTCTGTGGCAAGGGGCTGGAATAAGATGGTCCTTGAGGTCCCTTCCAACCCAGAGCTCTCTGTGATTCTGTGAGACACTCAGATGAGCTCTGTGAAAAGCGTGTGCAATCTGCTTCACGTCAAGGTTGATGCTGGCAGAGGACTCCTAGAGTGACATTTAAGATGAGAGAGAAAATAAGGTGCATTCTCAGGAGGCTTCTGAGGCATCACAGCTGCTCTTGTTGGCACCTGTGCAAATATCTGGTCAGCCAAGACAGAGCTGGTTGCAGGTTTTGTCCACACCTGCACTTTGTGGAGCATGCTAGCAAAGTTCCAAGATTTAAACAGGTAGTTTTGAACAGTAATATGTACAAAGTAGGCATAATTGGTTTCATTACTGCAGAAGTGAATAAAACTTATTTTTACATATCACATCATCAAGCAGGAAGATTGTGCATGGAGATATCTGATAGAACTAGCACTGCTGAGTGAAAATTCCAGCTCTTGGAAAAAATGGCCCATCTCTAGGTCTTAGCACTCACTTCTTCCAGCATCTAGCAACTTCTGTACTCCAGCTGCTGCCCAACTCTTTGTGGGCAGGATCACTTCATATTGCTCACCCAGCTGACTAAATCTTTTGTGTCTCATGGATCAGTCAAAGCAAGGAAGGCTCTCATTTGGATGCTTACCAACTGGAGGGAATGTACAAGCAAAACATGACCCTCCTCCAGTGGAGAACAGACCGAAGAACGGTTGCAAATGTTACAAGCAGAAGTTGGGCAGGTTGGATGGAGGACAATCGTGTGAATACAGAACAGCCCAGTGAGAGGAGGTAGTAAAGAAGCAGTATAGAACTGTGGTCAGCAACTGAACAGTCATGCTGTAGCAGAAGGTGCTGTATATCAAGTCAATATTAGCATCATTAGAAAAGATCTTTTGTGGCATTCCCTACTCCACCCTTTCTGCCACAGAACTTTCTCTGCCATGTATTTTTTGTATTCATGCTCTTGCTCATTTGGGTTGGATTTTTAGTATATAAAACATTTCAGCTCATTTTGGGATTTCTTTTTTTTTTTATTATTGTAAAATGTCAGTGCAATATAAAATGCTTTGCTTTTATCTGGAGCTCAAAGTCTGAGGTGAGAGTCTGTCTCCTGTTTTTCTGCCTGCAGGGATTCCCATGCTGAAGATAGTATTTGCAGGTTATGAATACCTGTCCTTAATTTCCGTCCCTTTGCTCATCTATCATCCTGCTCAGATCCTTCTTGGCAGCCTGTTGGTACCAACAATAAAATCCTGGATGGTTTCTAGGCAAAAGGTAAGGATTGCTGGATTTGATTTATAATGGCAAGTGTACTGTGAGGGAAAAAATACCAAAACACATGTCCTAAACTCCTGGGGTTCCTTCTGTGGTTGGGATTTTTCTATTTCCTTGCTTCCTCTACAACAATGATAAACACAGCAGTATCAAAATAAAAGTGCAGAACTTTATCCTGCTTGAAAAGGGGATTCAAGAGACTCTGAAAAAGTTCAAAGCATGAAGTTAGACCTCCACAGTTAATTCAAGTTACAAATTAATTCAAATTATGAATTCAGAATATGCCCCATAAGAATGTCTCCATCCATTAGCTGCTTAATAATCACAGCTTTGGGTCTCCTTTATGGAGAAGTGACAAAGATGTGTTGGCTGGCATGGGAGCTGGGGAAATGAGGTAAAATAAGGACACTTTCTGAACTGATTGAAGCAAGATGGAAACTTTTTTCCCCTTCCCTTCCCATTTGTGTCACTCCTTACAATAGCAAGAAGTCTACAGCAGTCTGGGTTATCCCATTTCATGCCAAAATTAAGGCATGGTATAACTTGTAGGATTATAAACTATAACCTAGAGGGTTTGGAATCAACACCACTGATTCAAATTATGCTTATTTTGGTACAAATTGAAGGTATTGACATCTGACAGCCATTCTGTGATCTATGTGAGAAGATTGCAGTGGTTTTAGTCAGGTTCTCAGAATAACCACCCTGCAAAAGCTAGTCCATGAGATCAAATTTAATGCTGTCTTTTAATGTTCTGAGATAATAAAGATCAAGAAGCTGCAGCAACTGAAGCAACCTTTGGCAGCCATTTTCAGTGAGGGTTGAGAACTACTGAGCAGCTCCATCAGCACCCTGCATTCTCCATTTAGCAGTGGAGAAATTTTATTGCTAACACTCATATTTCCAATTTTCAGCAAAACCCAGTGGCTGTCATTTTACAGCTTCACTAAACTAACCTTGCTGTCTTGAATGCTAAAGTCCCAAATCAGTGATTTTCATGTGTTATCTGAACTGTAAAAAGCAGGAAAACTCTCAGTTTTCAGAAACTGTGTTCAGAAATCAGACCTGGTTAATATATACTGGTCTGAGTATCTGAAAATGAAAATCTGAGAATCCAGTGGCAATTATCCATCAGTCTGAAAATTATAGTTTTTCTTTTAATCAGAAATTATCAGGAGACTTTACCTGTGGTATAAAGAAAATTCCATGCTATTCCTGTAGAAAGACAGACTGAAGTTTATGCTGCTGGTGACAGAACAATCCCTGCAATGCTGACTTCTCTTCAGCATCTCAGGAGTGGGGCTGGAGCTCATCCAGACCTCCCTGATTCTCAGGGCAGTAATGGCCTTTAGGGGCTGCTGTCAGCTGCTGCAAATTAAAACAGCCTTTAAACAGAGCATCAGAACAATCAAGCAGTACTGGAGAGATTTACAGTTCACCAGCACTAGTTTCTTATTCATTAAGCATCAAATAAGCCTCCTGTGCTAAGCAGACTGTAATGCCACTGTAGAACCACTTTGGGGGATTGTTGTTCTGTTGCTGCAGCTTCTTCAGTTGGTCTTCTGTATTATTCACAAATGTTATTTTAATTACTCTTTGAAAAAAATCAATGAGGTTGGCTCTGGTACAGTTGCAATAAGTATAATAGAAGTGAATGTTGAGACTGGATAATGGTCTCCTGCTTTGAAAATAAACATGTCATCATCACCCTTGATGTTTATTTTCTACAAACACCTTGGCTTCATTTTGGCATCTCTCTTGCAGGGGGAGGCAGTTATCCAGTCACAGTACTCAACTGCAGTGACATTCTTACTTAATTATGATAGTACATGTGATCGGTTGTATGAAATTGAATTTAAATATTTAGAGGTTCATCTACACTAAGGTATTTCTACTTTGTAAATATGGCAGCAGAATCTGCCAAACTACAAAGTTAAAAAATTGTTTCCCCAAACAAAGTGTGGAATGATGTCTCTCTCTCTAAAGTCTCTTGTTGAATAATATCCAAAAGTCTAATCTCAAAGGGCTGGATTTAACAATAGTTAAATGCTGGTGTTTCTGGGGGGAATATATCCCATTTATTTTTAAAGGTTTGGGGGTTTTTTAAGGGTTTACATTTGTGCTGGAGTGATTTTCAAGCAGTGCTTACAAGCTTTAAGTGTACAATATTAAAGGTTAATATCTACAATAAGAAGCCCCATCAGGCATCTCTCTGACTGAAAATTGCTTGTTTAGCCAACCTGCTGGAAACAAGAACTCAGACAAATGCCAGTCTGTCAGGGCTCTTCACCCAAAAGACTTCCTTCAGAAAAACAGAGGTTCCAAATTTCAGAATTTGCTAATTTGTCTAAATTCCTCTCACCTGGGCCAATTTGTCCCATCTAAGAAGGCACAGAGCTTTTTTTGCTACTGAGCACACCAAGAGCCAGCACCCTTCCAGTGCCCACACTGCTGCCCAGGAGCAGCTGAAAACCCAATGCTTTCTGAGCCTAGCACATTTCTCTCCTTACTTAGGCTGCTTCCTGCCAAACGGGAAGCATGAGCACTGGGTTGAACTTTTGTCACACACTGAATAAATAGCTCAGCCACCATAATTCACCAGCCCTGTGAGGAACACAGAGCTGGACCCTGCTGTCAAAAAAGAAAGGGGTTTCTTTCTTCCTCAGCAACAATGGAGCTACAAAGATGTCAGGTGTCCCCTGGCATAAGATCACCTCTGGGCTGATGGACTTTGGCTATTTCTTACCTTTTCTCAGAAAGGAGGGTATAAACATCAAAGGTGCATGACATCCACCACTGCAGCAGTGATTATCCTCTGAGCAGGCTTTGAGCTATGTTGAAGGAAGCCAGGCACACAAAGGTGTTGGCACACATTTTCTTCACTGTCTTTCCTTAAGTGGGTCTGAAGCTCTTTCATCTGTGCCACGAGTGGTTTGAGTGGGGTCCAAATGGTCACTTTGTAAAAGGCACCTGAGACCCAGCTCTGCTTCCTTCACTGACACTGTAGCCATGGTCCTTGTGGTTCCTCTGTAAGGGCAGGTTGTGATGGGCTATGAGACACAAACATCATCTCAGAGCCCAGAGCCTGTCAGCTGCACGCTGACTCCTCTCTCAGCCGCGCAGAAGTACCCACAGTGTTTTGTTGCCCTTTATAAATGAGACTCTTACCTTGAGCTGTTGCTTGTCTTTTAAGGGTATAAAAAAGTGACTGTTTTGTTTCCTGTTCACAGGCACTGAAATTAACCAGGCAGCCCAAAGCACCGGTGAAGGTATAATGGTGGAGATGGCCTGTGTCACAGTGAATGTATATATGTACTATACTGTACACACAGACAATTGACACAGCTGGGTTTTGTGAATGTTGCTTTAGTGCATATTTTATTTTTTTATATCTATCTATATATATATATATATATATTAAAAGATACCTGTTAAGTGCCTTACAGATGCATTTTGGCAAAAGCATTGTTTTCAGAAGCCACTTTGTTGGTTGCTGCAAGAGGTTGTACAGTATTTTGGAGTCCATTAGTTTATTTTTCTAACCGAGTGAATCGTTATGACTGACAGCTGGTTCTTCCATTGCCCCTGCTTTGAAGCCAGGGTGCACCAGCAGCAAGTCTCTGTTTTAAACTAGCCAAAATGACCAGGAGCCTATCCCACTGCTGGCTTACCTGCTCTTCTCTTGGGGAAGAGCTTTCTGGAGGTTTTTTTCTGAGATTGACTTGAATTTCTGTGTGACTCTGTTACACTCCCTAGTCATATGACTGTGACATGCCTTTTTCTTCTGAGTTTGTGTATACTCAGCATGGGGCCATCCAATGGATAGAAGCTGAAAAGCATGAATTATTTGCATTTGTTGACACAGTTGTCTAGACATTCCTTCAAAGTTAATGGTATCTCAAGAAAATTCTTTCAATTCCATTGTATGATATTGTGCCATTGTATATCTTAAATGCCTCATAAGCTTCTTCAAAGAAATGGTCTGGTGCTTGGGTTATGAGTGAAGTATTTGTGTTTGCAGCTAGGAGATCTTTTTATCATTTACCCCTGAAGAACATGAATTTTTGGTTTTCTTTTTTTCTTCGCCTTCCCCCTGTGCAATGCACAGCAACCTGCACAGAGAATTTAGGATGCTGAAACAGAGCCTTTATTGTAATAAGCCAAGCTATGTTTTCTCTATTACTGCATTGGTAATGAAGAGTAGCTTATGAGGACAAGAAAGTTGACAATTTATTTTTTTTTTGCTAATTAAAAGGATCCTTATAGTAACAGAAATGCTATCTTAGCTCATTAGACAATCAATCACAACTTTTAAAAAAATAATATTACTCTTTCTAATAAACTTAGGTCAAAAAAGAATACAAAATACTATTTCTAGGCATTGAAAAGAAAGGAATGCAGGCATATATTTAAACATGCAGCCAGCACTACATCTTGTCTGGGAGATGAAGATTTCAGAAACCTGCTCTAGTCCAGACTTGGGGCTGTGCCCCTCTGCAAAAACTGTGCTGGCAATTGTGCATTAAAATATTGAGTAAGGAAAGGAATAGGTCAATGTGGGATCAATATAAATGCAGAGCTTCCATGTGTGTCATGGTGAACATTGCAGCTAAAGGTGTGGCTGAGTGCAAACACCTTGCAGCAAGTCTGTAGCAAATGTAGATGATAAGAGCTCTGATAAGGCTGTAAGCCTTTACACAAGCTGAAGATCTATGTGACAATAGGCATGTGAAATTCATATCCTTTTGCCTTACTGAAAAACAAAAAATGTGCTTGGTTTACCTAGTCTGTTACTTCCAGTCCTGTGAACAACAGGAAAAAAGTAATCTGGTACCAATCCCTGGTGCTTTATGTGATGGCCACTCCCTGTTGGCATCTGTGAGCTGACAGCATCACCCTGCTCACAACTGGCACACCAATAAAAGGACCATGTGACAAAGGTATGGGAGGTGGCACATGCCACCTTCTTTCCTTCCCTGGAGGGGGGATCAAGCTCTCCCTGCTGAGTAGGCAAGAGGCTGAGGGACACTGCCCATGTCCCTCTGCCCCTTCCCACTGGGCAGTGAGCTCACAGTTTGATCAGTGCATCCCCAGGCAGCACAGGCAGATCCACAAACAGGCCTGCTAGGAAATGGAGAGTTCCTGGGCCAAATTCAAGGTTCCACTTCCTTAAGCATTCTAAGTGGTAACTGATTCCATATGGGAAAAATTCCTCTGGGTTTAAAACCCTGCTTGTAGCAGGGGACAGCATCCAGACTCAGGACAGTTTCTTTATGTTCTACTTCCATAAACCTGAATTTCCAGAGAATATAAAGACTTAGTCCCAATCCCACTGAAATCAATGACTCTTTCTGTTGGTTTTGAATGGTGAGACAACAGGCCCAGAGGCAGTGTTCCCTTTTCAAAATACATAGCAGGAGTTCAAGCAGACAGCAGCTGACTGTGGTTGTGTCAATGCTAAATAATCAGAACACTGCAAGTACCCTTACTGAGCTACCTCTGTGTACTGAATCTCTGCCTTTCAGTACTTCCAACAACCTGCTTAGATTCCATTGAACACATCCTTTGTTTTTTGGGGGTTTTTTTCAACATTTAAGACTATTTCAAATTGTTTTACAACGTACTTTTGTTAGTCTCTTTGTAAAGTCCTTGTTGATTGCTTTGGGGCAGCTTAAATATTGTGTATGAGTGTTGGAAGTGTGGTCTAAAGGGAATATCAAGCTAAACTGAAATACACATTTTAAATTCATACTTAATGAAACTGAATTGTGCACATCAATTCTGTTAAGACTGTTAAGATGTTTGTTTTATGACTTGCTATATGTCTTTAATAAACAGAAGGGTTTTGAATTCAATTTTGTTAAAAGGAAAACAAGATAAAATTATTTATCCTTTAGGTCACATTTTTACCTCTGTTGTCTGTTTTATTCTTTTGTGGGTGAGCTTTTAAACTTTTTGCTTGTTTTTTAAAACAAAAGCCTGTGTGGAAATACTTTATGAACTTGGGGAAAGAAAGTCCTAAGAATGCTGCTAATTGTCATCAATTTAAAATTAATTCATTGAACCTAAACAGTTTTTCAGTAAAGGGTTAGAACAACTCTTTTAAATAAAACTTTATAACTGCTATTGAACATAATCAGGCAAAACTGATGGCAAATGAGAACTTTGCCCATGTTACATCATGATGATTCTCTTGATCATCAACACTTTGTATTTCTGCTTCTTTATAATCCCATCCAGTGAGAGCAGAGGAAAAAAACCCACCCAAACAATAAAACAGCACTTCAGAGGTCATGGGCAATGTTAGCACTTTGTGTTGAATTCCTGAAACATTTTATTTCCCTTTTTGTGCATTAAATTGAACAGCTTTTGATAACTCCAGTACCTTATCAAGATAAACAATTTTTCCTGTAGTTAAAATCAAAGATGTGGTTGTGTTTTTTCTCGTTGATCCTTTAGTTAGTGTGAGCAGGCTGTGTGGTAGAAAGGCAGTCTGAGCAGAAGCTGCGCAGTCGTGCTTGTTCACAGAGCAGAAGGAGCTTGCTTGTACAGAAGTAGTCCCCTACATTGCTCTGGCAGTCAAGGAAAAAGGAGCTGTTAGTTTTATTTGTTACATTTTTTGTGGAAATATCTTGACAGCGGGAGGTTAGAAGGCAAGATGAAATATGGTGTGTCTGCAAGCACATTGATTTATGTGCGAGTGCGTACGTGCATAAGAGATGAGCAGTTATATATGTAGAAATGACTAGAAAGGGCCAAGTCCCTGGGATACATTTTTTTTGCAAGACTGCATATGGAGAAAGAGCTACTTTTTTTTTTATGTTATTCTGCCATTAAAAATGAAATTTCAGACACTGAATTGTGTTTTGTATTGAATCATAATCTCATACAGAACCCTTAAAGCAGACAATCGCAGCTTTGTATTTGTAAACTGTAGACTGTTTTGCACTTAAATAGATGTTGATGCATTTGGGAATTACAACACAGTAAAGGGCTAAATCATAGTTTCTCCATTTGGTAATAATCCAAATGCATTTATATTACTATTATTATAAAGTGCCAGGAACACAGGCAGTGCCTAGCAAACACATTAAATAGACAAGAGACTAAATTCTGCCCTTGGTTACACTTGCACATCTCCAGTGCAAGGTTGTTAAGCTGCAGAGCAGCCTCCCCAGGGAAGCTGTTTGAAGAGCCCTGCCATCGTTCTAACAAAGCTCAGGGATAATGTAGCACATGATGAGACTAAATGAAGAGTATTTTACTTTAGATTTGATGGCCTGCGCTTTCCAGCATCTTACAAACCAAATATCTTTTGTTCCTATTTCCATGGGGTAGCTCCAGTCTCCCAGACCAAAACTTACAGCATCCTGTCAGAACAATGTCAGGAGAGGGATGAGGGATGTGGTCTCCTCTTTGCCATTTTCTTGCTACAACCACACTATTGCTCGTGATCATTTGACTGCAGCTTCTATGAGGAGGCATTTTGACTTAAATTCCTCCAAGCTGATGTGTCTTGTTCCTGTAAAATTCTCATTCAACAGAGATGCAGGATGGTAAGGAATCTTCTGGAATTGCATGGACAAGCTGTGAAGGACTAGAAAAGCAATGCTGGGAAATGCAGGTTGGAGGCATTGCTCCAGGCAAGTCTGCTTTGTGCCGGCATCTAAAGCTGCAGCAGAGGTCATGAAAGCAGCCTCTGGATTGTTCCTCTTGCCAGAAAGGTGGAGAGTGAGATCTTCAGTGAGAAGTGAAATTAAATTTATTAGTGATTAAAAGGACAAGAGAGATGTGTTGGGAACAATGAATGCCAATGAAGCCTCTTGGCTGCTCCCCTAAGCAAATTGCAGTCTCGGTGGAGCATCGGCTTCTCAGCCCCTCAAATTGCAGTAATCGAGTCTGGAGCTGAGGGGAGCATGAGTCACCACTTAATTTGCTCATCAGTGGAAGCCAAGTTTTCAAAATATTTTTAGATGCATTTCCACAGAGATTTCTGCCAGCCAGTGACCTGTGGAGTGACAAGAAAATGAGCAATAGCTGCTGGTGAATCAGGCTTTGCTCCCTGCCACCTACCCTTCTGATCATAGTCAGGGGCAGGGAGAGCAGGTAAATCAAAGGCTTTTGGAATTATTATGCAGAAAAGAACCCTGCTGAGCTGGTAGCAACACCTGGATTTGTTAAGTAACAAAATAACCTGTGAATTCCTGGGCTGCCTGGTAGGTTCAGATGAACTTTGACTGGCCCCAGCCAGAAGAGGTGTGAGATTGGGAACAGATTAGGATCCATGCTCCAAGGGACAGCCCACAGCCAGCAGCTGCAGCCCATGGAAGAGGCTGTGCATCTCCCAAGGATCCCATACTCTTACACCTCATCTGCTCTTTGCCTGGGTTCAAAACTGCCACCTGGCACAACCACTTGTCACCCAGGTAAGAAAAAGGAAAAGACTCTGGGTGGCATTCCTGTGTGGGAGGGCTACATTGAGTATAATAGTCACAAAATCAAAGATTTGCAGATGTTGGCATGCTGGTGCTGGTTCATCTCTTACTATTCATGGTCAGTTCTCTTATTAAACAACTCCAACTTCTAAGGGAAATCAGCTGTCTGGAAAGGCAAGAAAATGGAAAGGAAAAATAATTGAAGGAAAGAATAAAAGTGAAAGGAAATTGAAGGAAAGACAATTTCATTGATAGGGTTAAAAAAATTGTGGTGGTCATGTGAGAATTGGCATTCTGCCAGGAGAAATGCAGGAAATAAAATTTGAGACTCCTGTGACAATAATTGGGTATGAAATTCTATTGACAAAATCTTTTGCAGTTCTATGCTCCCTCTGTTCTTTAGCATTGTGACCGCAGTCTTTCCCTGTTTCTATCCTTTCTCTGCTGCACAGCCCATACTCAAGATGTCAGAAAATTGTTTTATTTCCCACTGCCTTCCCTGTGTAGTTTTGCCACTTCTTGTCAACACTGCTTGATGAAGTAAGTGATAAAATGTCTTTTTCCCTTTTTTTAAAAATTTTAGCTTCTCCCAGTTAGCTGTCCCTAACTGAACCTGGTGCCATCATCAAGATGATGCTCTCATCTGTTCTCCAAGCTCTCTTAGAGACCCTGTCCTGTAGCCAAGAAACCAGGGCAGCTTTCCAAGATGATGCTTGGGGAAGCAGAACTCAGCTTTTTGTGCTGACACTGAACAACTTAACCCATGCAAATTACAGTTCTTGTGTTCTTTGTTGGGACTTGCAGCTCCCCTGGAAGGGAACACCCACATGAAGCTCACTGCTGCATCCATTAGAGTCACTGTCAGCCCTTTGGGCAAGCCCAAACTGCATTTGACATATTTTGCCAAGTTCTCCTGCAAATTCTTGCTTGTTCTGTTTATTGCTTCAAATTAGAGAAGCAATAATGCTTCAAATATTGCTTCAAATTAGAGAAATGTTGGGAGAACCTCTATTTTTCTTCCTAAAAATTACAAACCCCCCTTTTTTGACCTATTTTAGGTCTCTGTTTGCCTGAAAAATTAACTGTAGTTTCCCAGAAGTGGCTCAGGACTGCTATGTTTGCCTCACACATTCACTGTGCCCCTTCCCCAAAACACAGAGTCTTTCAGGGACCTCACAGCAAGTTGCATAAAGCCATTTTTTAGAAAACAGCTAAAACATCTGTTTATCTGGTCCAATTCCCTGATAAATAAAATATATCCCAGAGGCATAATAGGGTGCTAAAAATAAGAGTATGACACAATTGGAGCCAGCTGATCTGGTAACTCTGTTCGCTGCAGCTCACGGAGTGTTAATGTGAGAAGCCTGTATCTTTCCAGCCCGGCTGGCTGTGAGCATCGCGCGTGGATCTCTCCCGGAGCCAGAGACAAATCCCACAGAACTGTGCTGTCCTGTGCTCACAAACTTCCTCCCTCTGGCCTCTGCAGGTGTAAAAACCCAGGGGAATTGTGATATGTGAGATTTTGTGCAAGTCAGGGAGCAGAACAGAAGCGCCGCAGTCAGCGGAGCCCAACTTGTGTTTGCGATCAGGTAGCGCCTGTTTGTGCCACAAAACGTGTAATATCCCTGATTAGAAAAGGCACAAAGAGCTGTATGGACCTGCACTATCACATATCAGTGTCCCAAATAGCCTCATGGTAGTTATCTATCAGGGCAATATCAAAAAAATCAACAAAATTCAAATCTTACTCATATCGTTTTTCAGACGATTTTTTTGTTTTGTTTTAAAGTAAGGTGCATAGTGTGTGAGGAAAAACTCTTCCATGTGTATCATTATGTATATTAAATAATTATCCTCTATGTTCCATAATTTGATCACATATTTTTAAGAAGGTATTTTGCTTATCTAACTCTCTGCTTTCAACAGCAAACTCCCTCTGCTAACGCATCCCATTTGAATTTTTATATAAGAACCTTGAATTTTGGTATATGCATAAATATGCTCCAGTATATGGCAGGCAGCAGCTTCCTATGTTAAAAAAATAAATTTAGTGAGGAATTTCAATATTTTTTAATACTAGTGAAAATAAGATTTAGTCTGTTAAGATGGCACAGTGATAGTCTTTGAATAGATGCTACTTTGAATGTGTTTTTATTTATTTTTCCAGAAGCCTCAGTTTAGGAGCTTATTTTCTTAGTAACAAAATATTGCTCTGAATAATCCCAGAAGCATAATACATTAGTAGAAAGAAAAGAGTATTTATAGCCAGTAATTCAGCTGTTATAAATTATGACTGTAAAGAAAGAGAAAAAAGTTCCTTTTTAAAACTTGCTGCCAGATTCTGGTACAGCAATGCTGAGTAAGTTAAGTAATGTTCTTCTGATGAACATGCAAGTCTTCAGTAGTTTTCATTTAAAGACTTTATTAAGCATTTTTCTCAAACTCATCTTTTTTGTTCTGTTTTGAGCAGAATTCCATCTGAATAAAACTCTCAGTGACTTTTTAGCCTACATTAAATTCCCACTGACAAACAGATGAGAATTATTATTGATTTTCTCCAGAAGGAGCTAATAGTCTTTGCCAAATAAATCATGCAGATCCTAAGTGTACTATTCATCTCTTCTGCAGATTATTGCTTAAAAGCCATGATAGTTGTCCTTTAAAAATCAAAAGTCAAATCAGTGCTTTGACTTGAAGTGAAAAATTTGGACTGATGGTTGTCCTGGGCCTTATTATTGTTTGATTTTTTGCAGTTTGGAAAATGAGAGGGCTGGCAGGCATGGATTCTTGGTAAGTGTGGATTCCTAGTTTCTAGGGAACTCAACCTGGAGACTGGAGGTAACTGGTGTGTGTTAATGAGTGGCTCAGTTATCTATCCCTCCCCAGCATTATGGAGCACCACAAGTCTCCTGAGAAGCCAGAGCTGACAGTGGACTTGATCACATTCAACTTGGACACCCTTTGTGTCTGTGCGTCTGTCTGTATGTCAGTCCTGGCCCAGGGCCCTAACCAGGTCCTGGAATATTCCAGCATCTTCCCCTATTTCAGTTCCCTCTGTTCTGGGAGTTGTACATACTTTGTGCCCCTCCTATTTTTCAAGAATACATTGTAGGTAATTATTATGTTCACTTAATTAGCTTTTTGTTGGTTTGAGCTCATTTGGTGCAATCACTGGTGCTTCTGCAGCACACATTCCGTCATCTGATTGTTTCCTAATTAATGGAAGAGTCTAATCACCCACTTCCACAACCAATTTTTAAGTACCCTTCATTATTTTTTTGTTGTTGTTGTATGGGAATTGATTTAGAGTTGAAACATGTCTCAACTAATTGCAAGACATAATACCCAAAAATATGAATTAACAAATACTAATATGTACTTAACATCTGTCCTAGATACCAGTGTTTGTACCCACACACAGAGGATGCTGCTACTGGCTGAAATGAGAAGACAGGAACAATGTAGTTTATCCAAAGTCTGTATTTCTCTAGCAAGTTTCAAATCAGCATGAGGCATATATCCCATTCAAATATTTATTTGTTCAGCATCTTTACCAAAAAGAGAACTTTCTAGATGACCCTTGTGCCAGCAGAAGTTGTGGTTCTAGCTGATATTACTCAATTAACATTGTATGAGATTTCTCCAAATGTGTTGACTGCCCTATCGATCTTAAAGGGAAAAACAACAAAAAAACACCCGAAAAAAACCCCAAACCACCACCAAACACCCCAAAAAACCACCCCACAACCCAAAACCAACCAAACAAAAAAATCCCCCAAAACAACAACAAAAAACTACCCACATCCTTTTAATTTCTCCTGTTTGTCACTAAAATAATGCAGTATAAATTTGCTAAGTCTTGCAAACCAGCACAATTTCACATTCTGGGACACCATTAATTTTCACAGGAAAATATGTGTTTAGAATCATTAGGTCTGCTCAAGCATTGAATGCAGTTATTTTTCAGTATTTTCCATACATAAAATTTAGCTACCTTGTATCAAAAATCCAGCTGTACTAGCAAACAAACAAACAAATTTTTTTAAAAAGCTGGAAGAGGAAAAGGGGGAGGAAGAAACCCCTGTGTGACCTCTGGTGGTTTTAAGACTTACTCAGAATGTTGTACCTTCATCAATGATTAAATGACTCACCCTTTTAAAATTTATTGAGCCCTCATTTTTATGTGGATGGATATTACTACACCAGAAATTCAACCTCTCACTGAGAAAAAGGGTGATCATAAGAATGGGAAAACAGATAAGTAAAACCAATGCAAATGCAAACTTTTCACCAACTCCTTAAAAGAGATTGACGATCTGAAGTAGTATAAATACATGGGGCCTATATTTCCCAAAATAAGAAATGGTGGCAGATGCTCAGCTGGCACTGACAAATCAGGCAACCATCACTCTGGGAGGACAGGTACTCTCTGAAAACTGGGAACTTTTAATAAGATTGAAAAGAAAGTGCTTAAATACTGAGGTAAAAAATTTAATTTGGTTTGCAAATACAGATTTTGACTCTTTTTCAAGTTTCTCATTTTTTCCTCTTTGTGTGTGTCTTTTCCTTGCTCTGTCTGAAAACAGAAAAAGGGGTAGCAAGCACTGTGTAACTAGAATAATATGTATATATACAGATATTAATTGTATACAGCTGTATCAATCAGCAGGTTAATATTTAGATGCCATTTTGATTACTGGTTGGTTGGTTGGTTGGTTAAGGATCTTCAGGAGGTTTTCAGAATATATGGGCTGGCATGAAAAGCAAAGCTAGATTCTATCAGATATATCTCAATGCAGATTCTATCAGATATATCTCAATTCTTCTCAACACCATGTGCTTTCATCAGTTTTTTCTCTATGCCTTGTTCTTTGTAGGCAGCACTTAGTACTTCAGAGAGAGTGCTGACTGTGGCTGAGAAGCCATCCTGAAGAGCAGGGACACAGGTATTTTCCATTTTAGATACACAGGCCAAAATATCACATATACATGACCAAACTGACTTTTACTTAGGTACTACTTGATAGGAAAAGTCAGTCAAATTGTCATATTTTAAAGAATGAAAGCAAAATTGTCCATCTTGCTGACAGATGGATCTCTGCTTCCCTGTGCCCCAGGGCCTGCACACCCTCCTCCTGCAAGCAGAGGTGCCTACAAAAAGGCTGGAGAGGGATTTTATATAAGGACAAATAGTGATAGAACAAGAGGGAATGGTTTCAAGCCTAAACAGAGCAGGTTTAAAATAGATATTAGGAAGAAATTCTCGACTGTGAGGGTGGTGTGAGGCATGGGCACAGGGTGCCCAGAGAAGCTATGGCTGCCCCATCCCTGGAAAAGTTCAAGGCCCAATTGGATGGGGCTTTGAGCAGCAGCTGGTGTGAGGTGTCCCTGCTCTGGACTGGAACTGGATGATCACTAAGGTCCATTTCAACCCAAACCGTTCCATGTTGCTCCTGGTGCCCCTGTCAGAGGCTGCCGTGCCCGGAACATGGAACGTCTGCTCTGTGACATCAGCCCAGGGCTGAGATCACCAGAGGTGCTCTGAGCACTGCGGCTGTGCTGGCACACGGAGCCTTGCTCTCGTAGCTGACACGAGCCTCGTGCAGCCACAGCCATGCTGCTGCTGCTGTGCTTCCTCACGCTGCTGGCCACATGCAGGCCTGTGCAGGCCACGTGGAACACCTGCGAGTAAGTGGCCCTAGGCCTTGGGGGGGAGCTTGGGCAGCACTGGGGGCTCCCTGGAGGGGGCCTGCTCATCCTCCATGGCCAGGCCACAGCTCCCCAAACCCCACAGGGAGGCCTCAGTTCCTTGTGGACAGGCTCATACCCCGTGGCCTTCCCTGGTGTGCTGCCCCACACACCTTGTGGGGAGCTTCTGCTGGAGCAGCAGCAAGCCATGGAGCAGGATGGAAATGACTTTCTACTTGCAGAGGGAGCTGCGGAGTCCGGCCCTTGACTTCCGATGAGGAACGAGGCAGGACACGCGTCGTGGGTGGCAAAAATGCTGAGGTTGGGGCCTGGCCCTGGCTTGTCAGCATCCAGGATCCCTCGGTTTCAGGCACAGGGCATCTGTGCGGAGGGTCCCTCATCGGTACACGGTGGGTCCTCACGGCTGCCCACTGTTTTGCTGAGTCCAGGTAAGCAGGAGCGGGAAACAGGGATATCCCCACAACAACATCAGCAGGTGCCGTACGCTTCTCCCATCTCATTTCTCTGCAGTGTGCTCAGTGCCTGGGCAACGCCCAGCTGAGAAATTGCTCAGGAGAAGGCTGGGCACATGCCACTACTTCCTGGCAGCCTCCAGCTGGCATTCCCAGAGCCTGAGGCGTGCTAGAGCAGTCACCACCTCCCTAAGGGCTGCTTTCCTCTGCCTTGGGAAGCAGAGGGCTGGTGACTGCTGGGCCAATATTGGGCAGAAGGGTGGTCATCGCTGGGCTGGCACAGCTACAGGCTCTGCTCCCTCTTACCCCTCTCTCCACGTGCCTTCAGGAACATCAGCGCCATGCGCCTGCTGATCGGCGTCACCCAGCTGACAGAGCCGGGCCCTGAGGCCCAGGTGCGCCTGATTAAGCGGCTGCTGATTCACAAGGAATACGATCCTGCCGACCAGAGCAACGACATTGCACTGCTGGAAATGAGCGAGCCTGTCCAGTGCAACTCCCACATCCAGCTGGTGTGTGTGCCCAAAGCCACGGTGAACGTGGCACAGCTGGATACCTGCTATGTCGCTGGCTGGGGTGCTACCACTGCAAGATGTGAGTTTCCAAAAATGGAGGGCAAGCTCAATACACTGGGAAGATGGATTGGGCTTCCTGACAGTGGAGGCCAAGGCCAGAATAAGGCTTCCCGCTCCCTAAAAGCAGACAACAGGGCCCGAGAGCTCCAGCACCTCTGTAGGGGCACAGCCAAACCCTAGGGAAGGGGTTCACCTCCAGATGGGAAAAGTGGCAGCAAGCTGCCGGGTCCTCATTCCTTTCTGTGTTCACAGCTCAAAAATCCAGCGATATCCTGCAGGAGGCCAAGGTCCACCTTATCAATGTCCAGATCTGCAATAGCAGTGAGTGGTACCAGGGGGACGTCCATACCCACAACTTGTGTGCTGGCTACCCGGAGGGTGGCATCGACACCTGCCAGGTAGGAGCGTCACTCAGTGACAAGTCACTCAGCCCCCAGCAGCACAGGCAGCATCACCCTGACACAGGCCATCCCTTGCCTTCCCTGGCCAGTCACTCTCTTAGCCCTGGCTCCCCACCTTTGCTGGGCCTTCCCACCCATTGCCCATGTACAGGGCCTAGTCCAGGATCTCCCTTGTCCCTGAGGCCTGGCACTCTGCCCAGAAAGCCCTGCTAGTGCTCTTTGCAGTCTAGATGTCCAGATGCCAATGCTGGAACAACTGTCCTCTGCACATCCAGGATCACTGTGCAGAGCTGAGAGAGAGCCTGACTTCATAGGCTCCCAACCCACTCCCAGCCAAGCTTCTGGAGGTTCCAGCACCTGAACAGAGCCTTGCTCAGCTGAGAATACAGCTCTGGCAGGGGCTGTGAGAGAGAAGGAGGCAGCACCGGTGCTGACAGGGGCCACCCAACACCACCTTAATCCTCTCTGGTTCTCTGCAGGGTGACAGCGGGGGTCCACTCATGTGCAAAGACAAGGACGCTGACTTCTTCTGGGTTGTTGGAATAACCAGCTGGGGCAGAGGCTGCGCCAGGGCGAAACGGCCTGGAATATACACTTCTGTTCGGCACTTCTATGACTGGATTGCGCTCCAGATGGAAATGCTCCCACAGTCATGGAATCCTTATCCAACCGCCTCACCACCCTGGACTCATCCTACAAATGCCCCATGGCCCACTCAGAAGCCATGGACGAGACCACCTACCACTCAGATGCCATGGACGAGACCACCTACCACGCAGATGCCATGGACAAGACCACCTACCACGCAGATGCCATGGACAAGACCACCTACCACTCAGATGCCATGGACAAGACCACCTACCACTCAGATGCCATGGACAAGACCACCTACCACTCAGATGCCATGGACAAGACCACCTACCACTTATAACCCATGGTCAACAACACTGCCCACTCCAAAGCCATGGCCAACAACACTGCCCACTTCAAAGCCATGGCCAACAGCACCGCCTGCTCCGAATCCATGGCCAACAACACTGCCCACTCCAAAGCCATGGCCAACAGCACCGCCTGCTCCGAATCCATGGCCAACAACACTGCCCACTCCAAAGCCATGGCCAACAGCACCACCTGCTACGAATCCATGGCCAACAGCACCGCCCCCTCCGAAGCCATGGCCAACCACACTGCCTGCTCCGAATCCATGGCCAACAGCACCACCCCCTCCAAAGCCATGGCCAACAACCATGCCCACTCCAAAGCCAAGTTCGTTACCCACACCAGTGGAAGAGAATAATAACTGCCCATATCCACTCAAGAAGCTGATGGAATTCTTCACTCAGATACAGAAGCTTCTGAAGAACCTACAGGGGATTCCAGTTTGAGCAGGAGAATGGACAGGATCCAGTGCAGGTTGCATGGGACCGTGACTGTTTCCTGCTGAGGCAATGCCTGCTGATCCAAAGGCTGCCTCAGTGCTGAAGGCCTGCTCTGTCCTGCCCACATTGCTCCTCTACATGCACACAAGTGCTAATGTTGACTTAGTTGCTGAAATAAAGTTGTCTGTGTTTGTGGTTAACCATGCTTTCAGTCCAGTTTGGTCTCCTGGACAAGGCAAGAACTTCCTTGTCCAGGACCTGCAAAAGGAGGCTGCCTCAGAGCACTTGGGCACAAAGGGAGTCACTCTAAAGGACTGGAACTGTGTCTAGTCAGACAGAAGAGTGCTCAGAGCCACCACAGGATGAAGAAGACTGGTGCATCAAGGCTAGGAACAGGACAGGAGACAATGCCACATGCAGACACCTTGGGGAGGGACACTTTGAGGCACACAAGCTGGTGACTAGGGCCTGGCAAAAGCCTGAGCTGATGGAGCAGACCTGGGAAGCTCCTGAGCATGACAAGCAAAATTTCTGACTGTCACAAAGGCAGGGAGAAGCTGAAAGGAGCTACAGTGCCCTAAGGAAGAGCAAGATTTCAGAGGTAGCAAAGGGACGTTGGTGTGTGAGGTGGCCACACTTCAGAGATGTTTGAAGAAAGAGTTGGGGTCATTCTGGGGAGGAGAACCTGGTAGGAGCAGAAGGACCCAGGAAACTGCATCTGCATTGCCATAGAAGGCCAAGGTGAGCTAGTTAACAGCACCTGCAACACCAAGTCCGTTCACAGGTGGGACACACCTTGGATTCAGGGGGAAAAGATAGCAGGGAGGAGAGAAGGTCAGAGAAAGAGAGGAGTCAAGGAAGATGAGGGGGATGTGTAAGCATGGCAGATAGGGAGAAGGGAGAATCAAGGAGCCAGTCTCACAGACTCAAGCTGCATCCTAGTGCCACAGGTGGCACAACTGCCCTTGTCAGTGTGGGCCCAGAACAGCAGCAGCCCTTACAGACATCGAGGCCAGGGAGCCTCCCAGAGGGCATTGCTGTGGCTGACGTTGCCAGCATGGACTGTGCCACATCCGTGCTTTGCACAGGAAGGAGGACACTGCCTGGGTATCTCTGGCACATGTGACTGGTGCTGCAATGTAACCAGATGGGACACGGGCATGCTGTCTGCAGGAGCCATGTGCTCTAGGGGGTGGTTTTGGGAAGGAGCTTCTGGCAAGCAGCTGCAGAGAGTAGGGTGGCAGTGAACTCCCCAAACACCACACCGGGTGTTTTCCTGCAAGCAAGGAAGTTCTGGGAGCCCCTGCAAACAGAGGAGCTAAAATAAAGCTGGAGAGGAACTTTTTTTACAAGGGCAAGCAGTAATAGGACAAGGAGGAATGGCTTTAAAGTGAAGGTAAGTTTAGAATAGATATTAGGAAGAAATTCTTCTCAACCAGAGGAACTCCATGGCTTCAAAGCCACAGTCAAAGCAAATGTCACAACCATCTCCTCCTCAGAGATGGAAGAAGCCTGTCACAGTCATTACCATGACAGGAGCACCTACCAGCAGCTTCCAACTGCTCATTCAAATGCCAAGTGACAGGCAGATGTTTCCAGGCAGAAATACAGCCCTCTCAGAGCCTTGGGTTGCATCACCCACCAGGACAGCATTGCCTCAGCCTCCTCTGGCCGGGGCTGTGACCTGCTGGAGTCACTTGAGCTCAGCCGGGCCCAGATAGACCCCGTGGCACTGCTGGACCTGGAGAGAGGTTTGCTTTTTCTTGTCATAAACCTCTTCCTTAGCAGGAAGCTGTCAGGAGAAGGGGACGTAAGACAACTTACACCCTGCCTATTGTTTTCCCAGCAGCGTTTGTGTAGTGGATTTCTAGAAGAAAAAATCCCCACAAACTGCAGTTGGGAATTTCAAATAGCACTGGGACCACGGGTATCTCTGCTCTTTAGTGGCTTGATAACTAAGATAGAATATAAACCATTGAAGCTGAAATGCCACTGATGAGCGCAGGGAAGGATCACAAACCCTCCCCCGCCCCAGCGCTCCCCACCAGCCGGGACCGGCCGGGGCCGCGCGGCCGCCATCGCCGCGACAACGCTGCCCCCTGGCGGCGGGAGCGCGGGGAATGCCTGGGGATGGATCCCGGGGGCCCGGGAATGCCTGGGGATGGATCCCGCGGGCCCGGGAATGCCTGGGGATGGATCCCGCGGGCTCGGGAATGCCTGGGGATTGACCCGCGGCCCCGGGAATGCCTGGGGATGGATCCCGCGGGCCCGGGAATGCCTGAGGATGGATCCCGCGGCCCCGGGAATGCCTGAGGAATGGATCCCGGGGGCCCGCACGGATCCGCCCGGGAGCGCGGGGAACGCGCCATTCCTGCCCCGAGCCGCGCGGGCAGACGCCGCTGCCGGCAGCCGCTGCCTCTGACGCGTCGCGTCGGGGCTGCCTTAGACACTGGCAATTACTGGTGACACCTCACTTGGACTGGGTTAAATATTTTCCCACTCCGGGCCGTGTGTTTGCACAGGAAGGATCAGCGTGTCACATCTGCTGCCGTTCCCTCTGCTCCAGCTGCCCGATGTCCTTGGTACCTGGCCGTCAGTTCTTAATGTACATCAACATGTGCTGATATACAGCCGGGCTGATCTTTGACTCACCTTTGGAACAGCAACACATTTTCTCAACAACAAATTATACTTTGACATTAGAAGGTGGCAATCTGTAATGGATATTGCAATCTGAAGATTGAAAGAGACTATCTGTGATCTTTGTCCTCAGCCGAGCAGGCTGGAGTCTCTCTTCCCTCCTACACATTATTTGATTGTGGGACATAACCTTGGGATGTACTAATAATCATTAGTCAGAGCTGATGTATCCGTTACGGGCCTGCCCTGCTCGGGGAGGGAGACATTCTCTAAAACAGTAGTAAATCAGCAAAACATGCACTTAAATATACAGTAAAATGTGGTTTGAGACACGGTCCTTCATACATCATGTAGCAAAATGTTTTATTGAGAGAGTCACACACACACTAATGAGGAAAGGGCTGCCGAGACAAGACCTGTGGAGGGGAAGCAGTTCTGTGTGAGGAAGGGGCTGGGAGAGATCTCTGAGCAGCTCCTGGTCCAGGGGAAGTTGTGACTCCCCAAGTCCTTCTCTGCCCTCTCCTAGCCTTGGACAAGCTGGCAGGAGAGAGAAGAGAAGGCAGAGGAAGGAAGGGAGCCCTGTAGAGCTGTCCAGACACACTGAGCCTTAAGGGCCTGGCAGGGGCAGCAGAAGGATCCAGCTTGCCAGGAGGAGTGAGAGGTCTGTTCTGCTGTTCACCAGCTTTGCAGGTCAGGCTGATACTTTGTCATTTGTTTTTGCTGCCAAGCAGCTGTCTTTTTGGAGCTGAATGTTGCAGAAATTGTTAGAGCTTCTCCTTTGCTTTTTAACAGGCATTTGTCATTATTATTTAAATCTGAGTGAATAAATAACACATGTATCTGCTGAATGTTTTACTCTCTGGGTTCCTGACCTTGCTGCTTTGCCTTCCTTGGTTTTGTGGTCCTGACTATTTGCAGAAACTGTGCCAAAAGGGCTGGCCAAGATCTCTGAAAGGCCTGGGGCTGCATCCCACACTGATCTGGGAGAGCCTGAGCTGGCACATCCCTGCTGATTGTGACTGCTGGGCCCACAGGGCCCTGGGGCTTCTCCTATGAGCCTTGTCTCCCTTTTTGGACCTGGCCAAATTGGTGCATGTCTGGCTTTTTTGGCTTGCTAGTGACAACTCAACCAATGCTGGAAGTGTCTGTGATGTCCAAGCTTTGGATCAGCTGTCTTGCTTAGTGCAACCTCTCCACATTACATTGTGTTATTTCTAATTTTTTTTTCTTGAGTAAGAATAGCTCAAGCATTGCAATAGCCATTTTTACTGCCAAAACTCTGTTTGATGCCTGTTTGGCTGGTGGGGAGACAGGCTCAGGATAGGTGTACATTGGCTGCTTTCAGTACTGCTGACCTCAACCCATGTCACTTCACTGTGGGATGCCAGCCTGGCGTGGCCCACATGTGCCTGCAGGCTGAGCTGCCCTGCAGGAACTGAAATCCCCAGTTCCAGCAGAACTTCTGTGACCAGCCCAGTCATGCACCTGGACAGGGAAATAAGGCAAGCCTTTCACTTGTCTCTTCAGTAAATATTAGAAAGCTTTGTGCCTTTGTTTTCCTTATTCTGACTTTTTTTTCTCAGAAATCTGTTACAAGTGTGAGCACAGAATAATTTCCATATAAGGCAAGTCAGTAAGAATGGGGATGTTTGAATGGTGTGCCTTTTAATAAATGAACCAGTGCTCGTGTTTTCAACAGCATTAAGAAGAGATAAGACCTCCATTCCTCCTGTCATGGCAACTACAACAAACAGAACATCATTCAGAAGTCAAGAAAAAGACACAGGCACTTTAGGCTCAGCCAAGAGAGCTGCAAAGTAGCAAAACTCATTACTAATTCAGAGGAGCTGTGTCCCTCAGAGCTCACCATTACTGGTCTTACTACTAATAATACTGGAGCACATCAGTTTAGCAGGAAGCAGAGTTTGGCAGAAGGCAGAATGGTGTTGAATGCCACTCTCCCAATCAAACACCTCCATGAGGCCTTTCCTTGCTCTAGTCAGCCTCGAAAGAAGCAGTGCTGGGTTGTGGGAAAGAGCTGAGGAGAGGAAGGTTCTGGTTTTATAGCCAGAGCAGTCTGGTAACATTAATCCTAGAGAAACAGTGAAAGAGGCCACAGGTATTTGTAATTTATTCATAAACAGCTATGCCATCATAAGAAACTTTTTTAAATAATATGTGATAGTTCTTTAAATATTTAAGAATTTGTTGACCTATTTTCTCATTTAATTAGGGTTTTTTTTTGGCTGCATTAACAATGACTTGAATGCAGTCTGGTTTAGTCACTACACAGTTCAGCTGCACTGGATTACAGAAACATGGTTTCTTTCTAAGGCACATGACACAGGAGAGGAATGCCATTGTAAGTGTCTACATGTGTGCTTAAAAACCAGGAGACTTACTAGTAGGTAGGGCATAAGCTCAATTAGTGAATATAAAACCATTCACCTGGCATCCTTCTGAGTCCTAAACCAAAATTTGTCTTTTCAATTACAGCCCTACCCCTGTTTTCTTTGCAGCAAAGGGCTATGGTGCAGTTGCCCTTCTCTTCAAAGTGCCCTGGTTAAGAGCATCAAGCTCATCTCTGCAAGCTGCATTTGTGAGTACATTTCTTTTCTTACTCATTTCTTTTGCCCAGGCCTAGAAGTGAAGTTGCTAAAACCTTGTCCATGCGTGCAACAGAAATCACAGTGCAGCAGTGTGGTCAGAAACCAGCTCTTTCTGAATGCTGATGGAAGGCACTGTTAGCAAAAGCTGCACTCTGTGCATCATGCTGGAGCTGGAGCAGAACTCGCATCCCACCTGTCTCCTCTGCAGTCAGTGGTGAGGCAAGGGAGGATGTGAGACCAGGGCTTTGACTGACTAGCCAGCATGGAGATGGGCAGCAGTTGGAGATGGCCACAGGGCCCTCCTGACAGAGGGGAAGTTGTCACCAGCAAGGCTGGGTGAACCATCAGAGTCCTGGCAGTATCTGCTTGGTTCAGGGGTATTGCTGTGGGCTGTGAGTTAGGCTGCAGCACCAAAATGTAAGTTTGTTCCCCACTACATGGCTTGGGAATGATCAGCTCTGAGCTGATCCACTCTAGAAAAGGACACCAGAGGGGTCAGTTCCTGCTCCCTGAAAGGCTCTAAAATGTACATCTCAAGAGCATCATTATCAGATCTGTTTCTGGCTCTTTTAAAGCTGCAGTAAAATAAAACTTTACCCTTGCTGTTGTCACCTCTCCTTCTTAGGAGGTGTCCAGAATCATGCTGTTTTCCAAGAGTTGCTTTAGGGGTCTCCTGCAGAAAACCACAGGGTCAGAGAGAAGTTTGCACAAACTCAGAACACAAGGATGTTGTTAACTTTCCATGCATCCTTTGCAAGGCATCTCCAAAATGACCTGGGAAGGGTACTTCTCAGTCTGTGTTTCTGCACAGTGTCACTGAGCTGACTCAAAGTAAAAGACTAAATAAATGCTGGCTGTCAGGTTTCAACAAGCTTCTTCATCAGGTGCAAATGGACAGGAAAGATTTTCTTCCATTTGCACCTGATGAGGAGGCATGTTTCTCCCCCAAAAGCTGGTGTCTGCCATCCTGTGTTTCACTCCATGGATCAATTCAGCGTTCTTGGGATCAATGTTCTCCACTAATGACTTATTGCTTTTTATTTTGAAATTGCAACTTGAAATCTTGTGGCAAATATTTGTCATCTGAGGGATACCAAGTGCATGGAGTCAAACCTGTAAGCTCTTAAATGAGAATGGTTGGGTTTGTAGTTCCTAGAAAGAAATACAACACTAGAAACTTTTTTTCTGAGATTAAACAGGAGTCAATACCACAGTGCAGAGAAAGAATTTCTATTTTTGGCTACACCCTTAAGGCAACAGTAGAAGTGTATGTCACTGCCACAGTGACAGCTAATGAGCAGATATACAATATTAATTGCAGTGAGTGTAAGACACTGAGCAATCTATCAGCTTCAATTTCCCCAGCAGCTGTAGTTTAGATACTTTTGCCTGACACCTCTGTCTGACCTGGCTGCTTTGGGTTTGTTTGCCTGTGTGGCAGCACAAAGAGGGACTAAAGCAGCACGGTCCTGCTCGTGCCGCTCGAAGGGCTGACCCAGTTGCACGGGGCTGGCAGCAGCACGAGGCCGTTGTCCCGCGTCCTTCGGAAGCGCATCACGGCCCCGTGTTCCGTGATGGTGATGACGTCGGGCTCGGGCTCGCTGAAGGTCACCTCGGCGCGCTTGTGGCACTGCTGGGCACACGCACAGCGCACGGCAGCCGCCAGCGCCAGCCCCAGCACGGCCGTGCAGAGCAGGAGGAGGCCAAGCTGGGCTGCAAGGAGTCGGCTTCCTCTGCCAGGGCCTTCCCCTATTCCAGGAACAGCAGATTCGGGAGCAGGCCTGGTCACCCATGGCAGGGTATTCCCAGCTGCCTCCTGCTCATCCTTGTCCTCCTCGGCCCTGGTGCCTGCCCCCTCTGGCTGCGCTGCCAACTCTCTTCCTGCCATTTGCCTTGAGGCCGAGGACAAATTGCCAGCAGTGCTGGCATCACCAGGCCAGGCTGTGGTTGCAGCAATGCCGCCCAGGTGCGTGCGTACGTGCAGGGCAGAGGGAGATGCTGTCACACGTAGGGAGGCTTTCAAGATGGTCCCACTCTCAGTGCTGCCCTTTGAAAGCAAAAACATGCCAAAACATGCAGTGAGGGAAAAGGGGGCTGATTAGGTTCTCACTACCTACCTCATGGAACACTTCAACTCTGTTTCTGATGCCCTTGTGTCCCCCTGGCTTTAGAT